TAATTGCATTATAGCCACACATTATTTCATATTATGTCAAAGGGGAAGGAGGATGGAGGCGGTGCACGTGTTCCCTGAGGCGGCGCTCTACACATCATACAGAAGGCACTGCGTCCTCTGCCGACATAGTGACGTACGTATCTGCGGACGTGCCCTCAAGCATGCTCGAAGCACTTTTACTTCAAGGTCAGACATACGTATGATGTGTCTGTAGACAGTTTGTGTGTGGCCAATGTGGCCGTCATTCAAGGAAGCGTCTCAGACAGTGTCTACAGACTATCTTTTCTATGATGCATCAGCAGGGTGACCGCGGCTTGAAACCACAGTCGCGTCTGCGAGCAGACTGCGCCTGGTGAGATTCATGAGCTGTGAGCACGGTGACTCTGGGAATTCAACCAGATGTCATCCGCTCTTTCAGGACTGGAGTGTCCCGTACGAGCCGATCCCGTCGGCGGTTGTCCGCCAGGGCACCTCGGCCTTCGTGCGGGTGGCCCTGGCCAAGGTCACGGGACTGCTGGCGGCCGTGGGCGCGGGCTTCCTGCTCTACAACGGGCTGCTGGCAAGCCAGGGAGAGCGGCCGCTGTCGCGCTTCCCGGGGCCCCTGTACCAGGCCGGCTGGGACGAGCGCTGGCCGGGCCTGGTCCTCAAGAGGCGCCAAGGCAGCTCCTCCAACGGGTGAGCGTGCCATTGTTCTTTTTTTTTTTTTTTTTTTTAAGGATGCGACAGCAGTTTTATTAGAACGACTAATCTCACCGTTGCGGTGTGTATAAGATCAAGACTGGTGACAGCTGTTAACATCCGTTTGTTCTACTGACGGCTAGCTCCTGGTTAGCTTAGTTGATGCTCCTCTAGTCTTAGAGAGGTCCGGGGATCGATTTGTAGAGCAGGAAGAGTTCTTCAGCGGCCACCGGTCGTGTATACAGGGTGCGAGCTGCAGCCAATTTCTTCTTGCGACGACAGTATCTGCCCCTGTAATTGCCACCTAAGCTCCCGCAGATATGGCGATTTACACGTCGAGGCATTTAGGGCGCGCGCATGGGAAAAAAAAAAGCGTCTGAGAGATGCACCGTCTGATCACAAATGAAGAGAGGGCTCTGTAATAGTGCTCACTTATTTTACGCCACGTTTTCTGCCACGAATTTACTATTGGAAGATTTCTTTCCGTACCGCGATGCTGCCCTCTTAATTATGGTTCATGATTGAGGTCGCTGGTAAATTGATGGTAAGCTCATTTAGTTTAATGAGTGACTGCGCCAACAACTCTGTGTGCACGTTTGCTCTTATGATAATCGCACGTGACAGAACATGTAACGTTTTGAAAACTCATATGCAGTGGAACGACGCCAAATTATACCTTTATGGCCTTTATAACTTCTGCGCCATGGAACTTTGATCGTCACTATTATTACCGCAACGCCGACTCTTCGATGGTCAGTATCAACGCACTATTCAAACATCTGTCCGTCACTGAAGGTTTTAATCGTGATGAACGTACTGGTCTTTTCAAGGAAACATGTAAACACGAGGCATTCCTCTAGCGTTGTCAAAAGCCGGGCAACGTAGTTAGTGGTTTCTAGCTTGTGCGCGCGCAGTGATTCACAGACGCTTGCCCTGCAACAGTCCTGGAGCGAGCGCCGGGACCGGCGGTGGCAATGTGCAGCGGTTGCTCCGCACGCTGGCCGCCGTCAACTATCCGGAGCAGTTGTTCCAAGTGCTGCGCGTGCACGACCAGACATGCAAGCAGAGGGTCGTCTGCGAAGTCCACCAGTTCCTAGCCTCAAAGGGTTCCGCAGGATTCTTGCTAACCCTGCTCAGGTAAGAGCGCCACATGTAGTGATACGTTTTGTTGGTGAGCGAGGGTTGCACTGTCGTCATTCTCCTCCCGGCTGTAACCTGCAGCATCTGAGGTGAAGAGTTCAGGGGAAGATTCTCCCACCCCTTTCCACTTTAGCAGAGCGAAGGGTAGGGAGAAGCTCACCCCCTCTCCAGCGTTCGCTCTGCTAAACTGGAAAGCGGTGGGAGAGTTTCCTCTCAATTCTTAACCTGTTACCGACTGGAAGTCGTAGAAAGTGTTCCTCCCCCCTCTCAATCAAAAGTTGGGGTCAAAAAGCGCCGAAGAGCATGAGAAGAACGGGGCGCTTATTTATGTTCATTCGCAGACTAAACTAAAAAAAAAAAAAAAAAAACGAATTTTAAACGTGTTTGCCCAAGCACGAAGCAGCCAACGATGCATCTCTCTGGCTGTTTTAATAAAGTTAAATAAAAGAAAGATGAAGCATGCCGCGTTTTTTTTTTTTTATTTAATTTAATTTTCAGACGCACGACGTCTGAAAATTACGCGAGTGTTCTATCCGTCGGGGTGATTTCGTCTCGAGAAAATTATAAACTTTGAGTGCCTGTCAGTCTCTTCAATATTCTAAAAAAAAAAAAAAAAAAGGAAAGCAGTTAAGTGAGCTGCGTGGCAAAATTACTATAATTTATGTGTTTTGTTCAGTGCATGCTGTATTTTTGTTTTTCTGCCAAAGAAAAAAAAATCCTAACAAGTTTTGTCCAATATATTTCTGACAAAAAGTATATTTGTGAGTAGGTATATATATTATCATTCATTTAGTTTTTGCCGGTTGTTCACGTAACCGTTAAATATAAGGTAACTCGTCTACGATGTACAGCTTTGTCAACACTGTCGTAAATAAGAGCGATCGTTACCTATAGTGGAAGCTCCCAGCTCTCACCTCCAGGAGGCAACCACCTCTCGTTTGCTCTGCTAAAGGGCAAAAATAGGTGGGAGGAGCTTCCACTTTAGTCTTAATCTGTCTCCCACTACAAGGTATACTGCGTTCGTTCTCCACGCATGTGCGCACCCAGCCCACAGGTCCCCGGAATGTCCAAGTATCGAGGCGCCAGCGCGAAGGGACTGCGCAACGAGAACTGCGCCTTCGCCTTCCGAGGTTGCCCGGATTCTCTGGGACAGAGGCTGCTCAAGATCATCGGCCTGCGCTGAGCAACGAGGGCTGACTTGCTGGAACGCCGATCGGAGACCTCGGTCTCGAAGACTGGCTGCGCTCCATGTTCTGTGGGACATTTTCCGCAGCTGACCGCAAAGCCTGCTTGCATATCGCCATAGCCTCGTCTATACTCACAAAGCCAGACTGTTCGACGACAGAGCCATAGAGTGCCCGGTCGGAAATCTGGAGCGTGAGATCTGGTAGCACAGAGCATCAAAGAGCCATTTCTCGGGGAACCTGGACGTCAGCGCACAGATTTTGCAGCGGCGAGGACCAGAAACACACTTGTTCGCTCGGGAGAAGTGTGTTGCGGCATCTCGCCGCAGCGGGGCGCCAGTCACGTGGCTCTCCTCTCATCCGTTGTCTGCCGCTCCACCTTTTTCATTTCGGCGGCCGCTTCTCGTAGCGATTTGCCAGGCTTTGTGAGTATAGACCACGGTGGTATAGACCTTTTCTGCGAGTGCGCCGCCATCTTGAATTGACGTCACTTCCAGTATGCGCGAAAACATTGTTTTGCCTTTGCCACGCCACTAGAAGGCATTTAGGATATAAGCGTAACCGTCACACTTTCTCGTTGTGCCTCCCCTTTATTTTTTTACTATTTACAGGTTGAAACGTTGGATTATTTTTTTCGTCGCCCATACCGGATACGCCTATAGGTGGCTGGGCACGAGAGTACACAAAAAAAGGTCTATAAAGGAGGCTATGATATCGCTCGATAATAAAGAGTTAAGTAGATGGTTATGATTACTCCGATAACGATATCCGATACTCCGCTGCCGCCTTTGCGCATTCGTAGTATCGTTATCAGTGGTATCGGAGGTATCCGGAATGATTTATCTACAACTCCAATATTGCAGAAATTCGCGCAAAGCTGTGCGCAAAAGTGCCTTTTTCATGCTCAGCGAGCATAGGCTGCCAGGTTTCTGAAAATCTTGCTATTTGAAGTTGCAACATAACGTACACCATATGCATGTATGTATTTTTAGATGTGCACGTCGTTCTTCTAGATGTGCACGCCTTCTACGAAGCGGGTAATTCGAAAACCGTCTTCTGTTGCATTGATTGTAGTCAGTCTTTTTATTAGCAATAAATTTCAGATTAACGCAAATTTTTTTCTTTGCCTACGAACGACGCATCTCTCAAATGCCAAGGGACGCCCTTTGAAATAAATTGGGTCTAAGTATCAACGGGCTGCCAACATCGCTCACTGTCATATTCGAAAGCAGCTTTCTGGTTGTTCGAGCAGTTTGAAGCAGTGTGTCCTTTTGAGAAACACGTTCATTAGTCAACGATCGGTGACTCCCACGACTATGAAAAGTTGTCAACAAGGTGTATTTGACCTGTCTACAAGCGGGCAGAGTTTGTTACTTGATTACAATCGGATATTTAAAGCGAGCGGGCCCGTACGTTAATATCAGCCCAAGATCTTGGTCATGGTAGGTCTGAAAGGTATACCCTGACGTTTTGATGGCCCAGCGACCGGTAGACTGTCGCTGACCCCCCGTGCTGCGCAACGCCAGACTTGTCTCGATTAGTGATTCTGGAGGGCATTCCCTGTGATTACTTGGCTAAACTTGGCCTCGTCACATGTCCAAACGACGCTGGTCAGGCCATTCTTGACACCGACTTTACCGACGTACAAAGCCTACCAGACGTGGCTGACTGGCCGGACGAGGAACGTTCCTGACATGAACAGACCTTGCCTCTCAAATTATTCTTGCTTCTACGGTCCGTACCGGAAGCGCTCCGGAACTGGTCATTTAGAAGATGAGAGCCGATCAACGCGTTCGTCCGAAGGTGCTGCCGTTCCGTCGGCTCCGATGACGCACTGAGAGACCCGGAGCGAGCACGTCCTCCCCTGAGTCCCAAGAAGGCGCGTCCTCCTCCCCGTCGCCTCGGCCCAGCTAGAAGACAAGGCCTGCGCATGACGTCATCGTTAGTGGATTCCCGACCCAAGACACGCCGAAGCTGGAGCAGAGTGGCCGCAGAGCGGCAGACGCGTCCCCCTTGGCGTCGCCGCCTGCTGCGCGACGCGCTCGTTGTGAGACACCGCAAGACGCGCTGTTAGCGACACTGACGCGGACGTCGCTGCCCGGACCCACTGGTGATGACGTCTCGGGGGAAAGGCCTTCTAGTTGGTATTGGCCCACCGCGGTGCCTCCAAAACGGGACCTTAGGAGGCTGGCCGCCCGATCGGCGGGGGGCAGGCCGCAGCAGATCCGGGAAGCGATGGCGGCGCCCCGAGGGCGTCGCCATTAGCATAGCGCGTAACGGGACAGCCGGGGAAGCCCCCAGCTGTCGGGGTCAGGCGGGCGACGCTGCCGGCCGCCTCCCAATCCAGTTTGGCTGCGCGGCTTGCAAGGGCGACGCGCCACGAGTGTCGCAGGACCCGCACAAGGGCGGCTGCTCGCCGCTGCCATGCTTGCCCGACGGCTGTGCCCGGCCGCCGCCTCCCTGCTGGCTGCGGTCGCCGTCTCGGCCGCCGTCTGGACCCTCGTCGGCTCGGAACCGCTGCCCGGTGAGATAAGCACCCCACTCTCTCTCTCTCTTTCTGTATCGTCGTGTCATGATGTCCAGACCTTCAGTATTCGCAACTTTCAGCGATGGTGGTACCGTTAGAGTGCCTTCATACACACGCGCGCTTTTGCTTGAGTGGTGACATCTCAGCCATTTTTCCGCCCAATCGTTTTTTTATGCATTTTGAAGTGCGCGCAACCTGGTGTCATTCAGCTCGAGCGCGTAGCTTTGGCTAATGCATAGACGCCATTTTACCGCCCAAGTCACGCACCGAGTGCGCGAGAGCGTCACGCGCTGGCCCATTCAGGGCAACAATGGATGTCTTCACCCTCAGACAGACAGACATGTAGGCACTTTAGGTACCGTGTGAGAAGTGCGCTCCCTGGCGTCTGAATGTCGGCCTTAGAATGAAGGTGCTTGCTGGCACCTGGTTGACCTGGAAGTATATGTGGCTTTTATATTGCTCGTATTTCACCAAATTAGACTTACTTACGCCTCGCAAACCCAACGTTGTGCAGCTCTTCTGCGACGGTCATCCAGATAACAGCCATTTCAATAAGAACTAGGACGCCCCCTATAGACCGTGAAAACTACATGCACGTCTAGAGGGGACAGTGTCGTGCCCTAGACTTGCTTTTCTTTTTATACCCGGCATAGGAACAAACTATTCAACTGGATACGACGCAAAGTTCGAGGCAACATCGCGAAATGTACGTTTAAAGGTTGTTTAAATTTCGAGGAATGGAGCCTGAGATAGCAGCAAGAGCCTGAAAAAGGCTCCTCTCGGATGCGTCAAAGTGGCGGTCGTGACTCGCGCCACCTCCCTACACGTTTTCATGCTACCGTTGTCTACGCGTATGTTTTTCTTTAAAGACGACGACGCGATATTTTCGAGAAACGCGTGATGTACGTTTAAAAGCTCCTACTCTCTAGGCGTTCTGACGCTACCATTGTCGTATACGCCTTTCCTTCCCACTTATGCTTTCATCGGACTCGATGCATCTTGTTTTCTCCTTCGCCCTGCAGAATTGCCTTCCGGGGCCATGTGTGCTTGCTAACCTTGCCATTCGTTTTGTTCATACTCCCTCGAGTAATGTTAGTTTGCAATGAAACCGGAATAAAGAACCCTTGTTGGCGCCTAGGGCGCGTTTAAGGCCATGTGGCGAGAAATTGAGGAAGAGGGGAACACGAGAGCTGCGACGTCAGAACGCTGAGCTCAGGTTGGAATGAATAGTGGGTAGAGGCAAAGCTAGCTGCGTTTGTCTCTACTCAGTGTTCGAACGCGTTGCAATGCGAACGCCGAACGGTCCCGTTCTGATATCGAACGTTTTCGAAGAGGGAGCAGAGGCAAAGGCAGTTAGCTTCGTCTCTACCCTCTAATCATTCCAATCTGAGCTCAGCGTTTTGACGTAACGCGTCGTTGCTCGCGTCTGCGAGCAACGTCGAAGTCTACGCGGAGAGAAAGTTGTCTGCTTCTAGCACAGGATTTGCGGTGACGTCAAAAGGACGTCGAGCTCTGATTGGCTTTGATGGAAAGAATAGTGGGTAGATCTTAAGACGCCTTGAGGTCTACCCACTATTTTTGTTTTTCAATCAGCCAATGAGAGCTCGGCGTTCTGACATCGTTGCAACCCCTGTGCAAGAAGCAGACGACTTTTAGTCCGCATTGAGCCAGTCGAGTCTTTCGGACAGAACCGAAGCCACTCTGCTTAGCGATTAACCGTGTTGGATTCCTCTTGAGCACGTGTCTTTGCGCGTAGAGTTCTGTAAGCATCAAGTTAGCCACTGTTTGACAGGTGATCAGTAGATTTTATTGGCCGCGCTTTTGTCGACGATTTTTTTTTTTTTTCACATTTGAGAATATGGCACAACTGAAACTATTTGAGTTAATATGGGTTTGTAGTCCTGAGGCCTTCACGAGACGCCATAGTGTTGGACGTTGTTGGCAGCGTATGCTCAGAATTGGCGAGGAGGCACGATTACGTAGAACGGTTTAGCGGGCATTTCACCTAATCAGGATCACTGTTCTCGGCAAACAAGAGGCGCGAGCCAATCCTCGAGCATCCGCGGCGACCAACGACCAACAATTTATAAGATTTTTAGCAGATCGTCCCGATGATTCCGATAACGACACCCAATACTCATCTACCGCCTTTGCGCATGCATCGTACCGTTATCGGATATCGTTATCGGGAGTATCTGAGGTTTTGGAACAATTTACTAAAACTCTCTAACATGGCGTCCCGCGAATACTGAAGGAGAGTGTTTTCCCGAAGAGGTAGCGCGATAGCTCGCACTGCAGAATCCAGGGGTCCCGAGTTCCTTCTTCTGGCCCCATTCTGAACAATCCATCCCCACCCCTGGCCGTTTTGATCTACATGAGCTTCGTATCGGCGTGTGGTCGTGTAACCACCACTGCATGGCGTACGTCGACAAGTCCAGCGTATCAGTCGTACTGCACTCAGCACGTTACCCATCCACAACGAAGACACTGCAGACGCTAGTTTAAGTCAGGAACGTTCCGTTGTCTAGACCCCTGTGACGCAAATTTGATTTCGCCCTGCCACATGGACGCTTGTATGTAACTAAGCAGGTTTGTGGTTGAAGGAGTGACTGCAGAGCTCAAAATGATTCATCATTGGTTCGCTCTGCTCTTTGCCAAGTTAGACAGGAACCACGCAAAGTTGCGTGACCGTCTGCTCACCTTAAAGACGTGCGTGCGTATTTAAAATGCGAATCATTTAACCACGTAGAGCATAGCTACGGCTGTTCCGAGGCATGTTAAGAATTAGAGGTGATTGTAGAGTTTCTTATGACACAAGACTACTCGCATTTTATTTCGTACACCGGACTAAACTGTTAGCGTAAACACGACATTGGCGCTTTTTTCCCCGAAAGGGTGATTTGGGGTACACAACTTTACCGGTAGTGTCCGAAATTATCAATTTCTACCACACAACTTTTATAATAAAAATCTTCGCATAAAAAAAATATATTGATTGGTTGTTCGCATTACTTCTGTTGTACTACGTGGAAAGGACAGGAGGACCCACTGTATTCTGTCTTTATGTTATAGTAACATGAATTCTTCACAATGGACGGAACCAACTTCTGTTTTTCTTTGCCCCTTTTTTTGGGAGGGGGGGTAGTTTATTTAATATTAAATATCGAACATCCACGCCATCACAGGTGTTGGAGGAAGATAGAAGGAAAAAAATAATATATTACCATTACACAGCCAATCGTTTTTTTTTTTTTTTTTTTTTACTATTTTTGTGCACAGTCTAGCTGCCTGCGCTTCCGGGGGGATATCGCAGAATTCGTGGACGTTTGAGTAAGGTAATTTATTATTTCTTTTACCGATAAAACATTTTGCTCGGACGCCAATGAGAGCCGCAGGAAAACGAGATAATTTTCTCTAACTGAGCGGTAATCAGGCGTGCCTATCGTTCTGGCTACCAACGGACATGGGCAGACGCGAGACAGGCACAGAATCTCTTCCGGATCGTAATGCGGATAAGTGTCGGGCAATTTATGCGCAGGAGCTGCGCGGGGTCAGCACAGATAAATGCTGAGCCCGATGATCCCCCTCCCTCCATGCCTGTTGGGCGACATGAGTGGCACCGGCAAACCAGTCGCTGGAAATGCCGCCACCGCGACGCTTCTTGAGGTCGCCCGCTTCCTCACGAGACGGCATGCATTTTTCTCGTTCTTTCGCTCGGTTTTGCTCGGCCATTTCGAGCTTCCCGACCGCGCCCGTGTCACCCTGTCGCTAGGTCGGCTGCATGTTTAACTCTGGCCTCCCAGATGTGACCCCCGCCGGCTGAGTAAGTCAACTCGCACGCCGAGTCTATATATGCACCTTATCCAGATAGAGTCAGCAGCGTAGGCGCGGAACAGCTCTACTGTAAAAACATTTGCGTGCGGTTCTGTAGACACTTTTATGCGCAGTTTCCAATGCCGATGTCCGCATTAATGCGACACTGAAAGGGCCGTGCGCTCGAAATTTGACGCCATCTCTTTGCTGCGACTCGTCTTCGATGAAGGCGTCGGGGGCCAATCACTGGATTCGCGCCGTCGTAGTGCGATGGTGATTTGTGAAGGAGGGAGTGAAACATGACGAGGCCATATACTGGGCAGCGATTGGAGTGCTACGTCAGTATGTGGCTGAGACTTGTCTCCAATCGGCGAGGACACCAGTCCCAGCCGAATGCCGACGCAGCGTTCGCGTCCAAGCCCTGCGTTCGCCTGTTTAGGTGACGTAAAATTTCAGCCCTCTGGCCTTGTTATCGGGAAATGTCGACAGGTTTTGGCTGGGGTGGCGTTGAATAATCTTTGGTGCCGTCAGCAGCAAATTTTGTCCCAACTTTTTGTCAGTTACATCAAATATGTAGGAATGAATTGGCTTCCACCTGAAATGGGGCAAAACTCGCGCCCTCTAGGCGACTGGTGGCCGTTGAAAAAATCCCCCTGGTCCGGAATGCGATCCCGGGAACTCTCCGAGACTAAAGGAGCGTTCTACCAGCTGAGCTACCCTTTTACGAAGTTTCAATCGGAGCCCATCAAGCAACCAGCCCGAATACCAGTACTCTCCCGCCAGGTACAATGACCCCGCAAAAAGTGAGTCAACGAACGCTCGGCAGCTACAAGCAGCGCGGTCCGTTGACGGATGCAACCGGCCTTGCCGAGCGTAAACCGATGCGGCCGCGATGACCGCATCCAGCGACGAAGGAGGAGACGACCCGCGCATCGAACGGTAGGGCGGTGCGGGGTCGCCCAGACGGGTTCAGAGCCCGTTCACCCCGAACTTTCCCCGTCACCGAACACGATCTCGGTCGTGCGCGAAATCGAGCGGAGACAGCGCGCGTGACCGCGATCATGGCGGCCCAGCGGCCGAGCTTAGCTGCTTAGGCCGCGACGGGCACGCTGGAGCGCCTAGATTACACAGTGTTTCCAACTGCCTGATATGGGTCACGTGCTTTACGGGCTTGGCCTTTTTTG